TCTAGAAAAAATTTATATAGTACCAAGAAAACATCTTAAATTTGATCAAAATCTATATAAAAAAGTTATTAATGTTTATGATACCAAAAAGTATGTCAGTAGATTATCCATTAAATCTATTTTAATTTCTAGTAATATATATTTGCTATCATAAATAATATATTATTCTTTAAAAGATAATTAAGATTTAGGTAATTCGATGAAACTAAAATTACATTAGTACTCGCTTTGATATTATTATTAGAGCATCTTCAAGAGTGTCTTTCTAAAAAATTACTCTCTGAATCATCATGTGGAGAGTCATTTGAGTAAAAATCATTTTCTATATCTTTGTATCTTCCAACATCTTTTATATATCTTGTGCGCACTCTAGACAACCATCCTCGTTATCCACTTGGGCTAGCGAGAAATACGAAATAGAAGATGTCTCTGTTTGGTGATCCAATTGAAGATGCTGTTGGAGGGAATTTTTTCCTATAAATTAGGAAGGATATATAGTCTCTTGGAGTTGCTCGTAGCACTTACTGTGATGAAAACGAAAGAAGTATTACATTACTCGCTTTGATATTATTCTTTACAAATTTAATTAAGTATCTTCCATCCTCTCACATTCCAGCAAATCCATCATAAGCGGACCGGCCGATTTGCGCGCGGGCGCTCTCTCTCTCTCTCTCTCTCTCTCTCTCTCTCTCTCTCTCTCTCTATAAAACTTCGTCCCTCACCTTCACTTCACGCGTGCAGGTGACCCGGCGCATGCACCGCAATTAGTGTACCTGCTTCTTGGGTCGGCATCAGCTTTTGCTGAACCAGCACATGCACCGCATTGGAGACTTGGAGTCAACTAGCAGGTCTCCTCCCTTGGGCCAAATGCAGAGGTCCAACAACCAACATACTTCTGTTCGCATTAATCTTGAATCTCGATAAAGCATAATCTACTCCTACCTCACTGGTTGCTGCCCTCTCCTTTCCTTTCCTCTGCTCACCATCGCTTCAAGGAGGGTGGCCATTGCAAGATTGCTTCAGGCTAGTGACCCTGATTCTGCTATATATTTAATTCTGAAAAGGTTTTAGGGAAGTTTATTTGCGCCAGGCTGCCAGCTCGATGATCGTAGCTCTGTGTTTACTACCAAATCTAACATGGCGACTCTGAGCATATACATGTGGATTTTCATCACATACTACTAGTTGTTGCCTTGTTGGTCCTCAGATACTCTTGTGTGCTCATCGTTTCTAAGGAGGTTGATTGGTGTTGTAGCAAACAGCAAGGTGACAAAAAACCAGTAAAACCTTTTCGTGATACTATATTCTCTCTGTTAGTCATGTTTTTTTTTTCTTACCAGGAGTCATGTTAAATAGTTCGTGACCCTTTTGTTGGTACTCTGCTATTTTTGTAATTTTGTCTCTCATATTTTGGAATAGTAGAGAGACGGATTCTTTCAGTTCTCCTCTCCTCTAGTATTCTTGTAATATCTTAGCTTATGCTTAAACTTACTCCACACAATCCTGTCAGCCAGCACACCCCCCACAACAGTAGTCTTTAATTTCAGTCTAATTGAACAAGTATTCTAAAGTCATGCATGTTTTTTCTTTCTTATACTACGTATATATTTCGGTTCTCGAAGAAAAGCTTTCTACCAGTCGTCCAGTAGTATGTTTACGAAATACTCCTTTTCATACTGTGAAACTAGTCCTTCCTATGTTTCAGATGAAATTCCCGTTCACGATCTGTGTTTATGAAAAGTTTTCCTTGATAACATGCTCGTGGAATATTTCGTTGCTGTCCGACCTCTGCTCTCAACCAATCCGCTGTCCAAATCGTATAGCAAGTTGGTACCACTGAATTCCATAGTGACCAATATGACATTAGTTTCCCTAAAACCTTTCAGAATTTCTTCTGAAATAGTACTTGAAATGCCAGCCTTTTTGCAGTAGAAGACAATTGCTTTACTACCAGGTTGCAGCATGATTTTTTTTCTATATTTCAAATGTTTAAAATGTTTTGATGGTCCATTGTCCATCCAAAGATGACACTTTTTTTCTTGAACATGCAGGAGAACCACATATCATTGCATTAAGAAGAAAAAAAGGGGACCCTTAAAAAACACCACACACCCACAAAAGGAAACTACAAAATCCAAAGATCTGGAATTGTGTAAATATTGAACCTTCATCCTTTGAAAAGTTCCTCTAGGTGACTGCATGAAATTCCTTTTGTTTGGTTGTCTTTCAAATTGGGCATATGATGCTCAAGATAATTCCTGCCCATTCCCATATTATCATAATTTGAGTAGTTGCCAGATTGATTCTTTATTTACCACCATACTTCTCTGAAATCCTTGGATGTGAAACTGACATGGTGGGTTTGTTGGTCTGGTCCCACATAGCAGAGTACAACAGATGCTGCTTAAGGGTTTCGAAACTCTGGACCGGAAGATAATGAATTTTGTCCATGTTTTGTTAAATACAGTAAAATGAGAATAATATGTGAGTGTTAGTATTTTATTTTTACACCTAATGTTTATATGAGTAGATTCAGCAAAAAAGTTCATAAGGTAGGTTAGTGTGAATCCAAAAATCGCCGAATTTTTTAGTACTGGAGGATGTATATTTAATTGTTCATTAGTTGCTCATTATCTTAAGTTAATTTTTTAAAGTGACACTAAATGTAACAGATATATGAATTATGAATAATGAACGATACAATACAAGGGAGGTGCCAACAGATTTCCCATGGAAACTAATAGAAGACATTACAAATGGTTTTGCACTAGAGCAAAAAATTGGTAGCGGTGGATATGGGGTGGTTTACAAGGTATGGTTAATGACTTTTGCTTCATCTTTTCAGTTTCATCCTTCAATAATGAAATGCCTGTAATCAAATATGTGAAACAGGGAGTACATCCAAATGGACAAGAGGTAGCTGTAAAAAAGTTTTACCACATGCCAGGATTAGATGAGGATCAGTTTCAAAATGAACTTCGAATCCTTACTAGAATTTGCCATCCAAACATCGTCCAGCTCGTTGGGAAAAGCTACATAGAGCAAGATAGATGTGTCGAACACCAAGGCAGACTAGTGTTTGCTAAAAAGATAGAGAGGGCAATATGCTTGGAGTTTTTGCCTAAAGGAAGCCTTGAGAAGCATCTCTCTGGTATGAGGTAGTTTTGTTTAGTATGCTAGTTAGTGTTGATCTCTAAAAAAATGCTAGTTACATTTGATAGAATAATTCTGTAAACATGTGTCATTTATTTTCTTCTACAGATGAACGGTCTGGACTTCGTTGGCATAGTCGCTACAAAATAATAAAGGGGATTTGTGACGGTTTGAAATACCTTCATGGAGAAAGAATTTTCCATCTTGACCTCAAACCTTCAAATATATTGCTTGACAAGGATATGGTGCCAAAAATTGCAGACTTTGGCCTATCAAGGCTCTTTAGTGGAACTCGTCAATCGCATACTACAAAAAACCTTCTAGGGACTCTGTGAGTTAAATGACTCATTCCTTGTATATCTGTTGGTTTTCTTTTTCTTTTTTTAAAATAGTGGTATGTTTGCATTGCGCTTAAACATGTGATATTTATGATATAGAGAGTGCCTTTATGATTTCGATTTAGTGAAAATCAACCACTCAGTTGAATCATTAAACCCCTCCATATATAAGCTTTGGTTCTCATAAAAATTGTAAGGCATCCCATAATAAGGTTGTTTAGAAGCCGATTCACTAGTAGATGCATCAACATAATCGACTTTCTTACCCTCTAGTCTATCAAAATGAGACATGATCATATTAACAGCAGTTATAAGGTTGTTCCCAATCATAGTTTTATGATCATGTAATATCTTAGCATAATCAGCATTAGTAGGGGAGAAATCATCAACTTCTTTATGGATCTTTACCTCAGGTGCATCAGATGTAGAGGTAGAAGGCTTACCGAAGATGGCCTCACGGTATTGAGTAATATTCACCCCCCCTGATCTTTGGAGTAGCTCACAAGGAACACTTCTAGATCTTCTGAAAGCTTGCCTTTGTACCTTTTTTTTTTGGCAAAGATCATCGGGAAGCTCATCGATCGATGATCGAGTGATGATGTGCAATCACCCACCGTCTTCTTGCAGTCATTCTAAGACATGTTGCTCGTCCTCTTCCTCTTCTTCTTGTTCTTCTTCCTCCTCTTCTTCCTCTTCCTCTTCTTCCTCATCCTCTTCCTCTTCCTCTTCTTCCTCAACATTGATGATGGAGTCTATTATACTTGTCCATTTTTTTGTAAACAGTTTCCTTTCCTCTAGAGGCAGCAACATTGATGGTGATAGGAAATTGCATGAATTAGCAATCATGGTTGAATTTTAGTCAAGACGACATTTTTTATCTTGATTGCAATTTTACTTTTAATGGGATCTTTTCTGTAATAAACATTGGAAATAGTAAGTTACCTTTTGGTCTTTTCTATGTAATGTTTTCTGTTTTTCTTATTGTATATTAGGAAGGAGATTATCTTGGGCCATCTTTTCTATAAAATAAATTATTTAGGTTTACATCACTGTTACTTACGCGATGCTTCAAATATATTTCAGCGGATACGCCCCACCAGAGTATGTAGATATGGGAAAAATCACAAAGAAGTTTGATGTATTTAGTTTGGGGGTCATAATCATAAAAATATTGACAGGATCAGATGGCTACTCCACATATTCTGATATGTCCTCTTCCCAAGACTTCATTGATTTGGTATGGGAAGGTTTTTTTTTCTTATGAGGACTATAATGTCCATTTTCTTGTAGTTTTGGCTCGAAACGTTTTCATAGTGAGATACGGCGTTTACTGATTCACTTCAGTTGCAGGTTCAACGAAACTGGAGGAACATGTTACTGATGGTAGCATGGAAAGGTGCATTGTATCTGGATGCTTATTGCAACCAAGTGAAGACTTGCACTGAGATCGCAGTGAAGTGTGTGGAATCCAACAGCCACAAAAGGCCCAGTATAGAGGATGTCATCTCTATGTTGAACCAAACAGAAGAAACTATTGATAAGCTGTACAGGCAGCTATTTGTTGTCCAACCTCTCAATCTCTGCTTCCCCTTCGAGCCAGATAAGCTTATTCCATGCCCACTGCACCTAACAAATAACATGGATCATCCCACCGCCTTCAGGATTCAGCCAAATATCGACATCTTTGCCGGTTCGCTCCGAGGCATTGTGCCTGCAAGATCCACTCAGACTTACATTCTGACGATGCAAAAGCAACAGAAACCACCCCCAAACCTGAGCACAATTCACATCCAGAGCGTTGCAGCCAACTTGGACTTATCGTTGTACATGTTTAACAAAGCAGAAGCAGTTCATGATGTGTTGAAACAGGTGAAGATAACGAGTCTTCATGAGTGTGCAAGCCAGCTAGCATTCAAGGTGCGTTCTGTAAATTTGCTGCTCAAGGGTTACAATTTTCGAACTTTGGAGAAACATCTAATTTCTCAAAAAAAAAACTTTGGAGAAACACCATTACTATTCGTCTATTTTGAAACATACCATTATAATTCTTCATTTCCCACAAGAATGCCACAGAATTCTTCGTTTCCCACAAAAATGCCACAGAATACGTATAGAGACGACTTGAGCCTAGCTGCAGCATATACGAATACGTATACTTCATTACAGCCCCTCTTCTTGTTACCGACGCGTGAGCCCTACATGTCATCTTCTTTTTCCTCTTCTCATCTCTCCTTGGTGAGCAGCGCATCGGTCGCCATCCATGGCGAGCAGCAGCAGCTAGCACGCGGCCAAGCAGCAGCAGCAGCACGCCGGCTGGGAGCCACGAGCTTGCCAAGACAGGGCCACGAGAGCAGCAGCTCGCCATTGACGGGGCCACGAGCTCCACGTCGGCTGGGAGCGCCTGGGCTGCGAGCTCCGTGTGCCGCCCAAGCCGCGAGCTCCGCGCGCCGTCCAGGCCGTGAGCTCCGTGCCGGCCACGTGCGCCCCACCGCCGTCCGCTCGCCGCGTGCTGCTGCTGCTCGCCTGCGTGCTAGCTGCTGCTGCTTGTGGAAAACAGGGGAGCTCGCAGCGTGCTGCTGCTGCTCGTGGCCCGGACGGCACACGGAGCTCGCGGCTTGGGCAGCGCGCGGAGCTCGCGGCCCAGGCGCTCCTAACCGGGGTGCTGCTGCTCGCCATGGACGAAGATGACCTGTGGGGCTTGCGCGTCGGTGATAGGGAGAGGGGCTGTACCGAAGTATAGGTATTCGTTTACGCCTGCAGGTATAGGCCAAGTCGTCTCTATACGTCTGTGGCCTTCTTATGAAAAATAAAGAATTATAATGGTATGTTTCAAAATAGGTAAATAATAATGGTGTTTCTCTAAAATTAAAAAATTGTAATGGTATGAAAACAATAGCACTATTTCATGTGATATTATGCCCCTCTGACAAAAGCTAAACCACAGAACTTATGGCATCCGCAATGGTCGACTCATAAGCTAGCTCTAAGCATTTTTTTTACATTTTAATAGAAGAGAGAAAAAGCTAGCTCTTCATTAAGAGCTAGGCTCATACACACATTTAAAAACATGTGAGAGTGTCGTGGGGCTATCCATATTATGAGTTATATGCTAAAAATTAACACTCCTGAAGAGGTTGGCTTAGAGCCAGTAACCAGCTTATACTATTACGGGTGCCTTTATCGCTCCCATCCTAACCAATGGATCGAGATCACGTCATTTTTTTTCAAAAGTGAATTTTATTTGTAATATACTTTTTCTCTGTTTAATTTGTCCTTTGGCATCATTGTGCAACTGCTTGATTTCGTGGCGTTGTTACACCAATACAGCCCAGAATTCAGGTATATACATAATTTTATTTTTTCTTATTTTGCTCATAGTAATATGTGATGCTTAAATCTTTTGGCGCTAACTAGCGTTTGTTTGATTTGATCAGGTATTATCCCTCAATCCTACTGATAGCATAGACATCCATCCATTGGAGCCATGGTGCGTGCAAAGATTTACTCTCTTGAAATGATACGGATTAGCATTGATTATTCGTTCATCGAGTTCTTTAACGCAACTGTTTTTTGCTCTCACGGAACTTCTTATGCGGTACACGCAGGGTTCTAATAATAAAATCTGATTGGGGTGAGGCACGTGGCATTGAAATTTGGAACTGCAGGACCAGGGTAAGTGCTGCACAGACACTAGCTAGTCGGTACTACATCCGTCCCAGCAATGATATAAATTCTACTGACTAGCTATGTTTAATTTAACTAAATTTATGGAAAATAGTATCAACATTCATTACTTCAAACAGATACTATAAAAATGTATTTCCATGGTACTTGGAAAAATATTCGATGCAAACCACTTTCTCGGTGGAATCATGAAAACCCTTTACAAAAATATACTTAGAACTATTAAAAAATAGAAACAATGTCCATTCGTAGTGCATTTATATATGTATGTTGTCACCAAATTTGAGATTTAAATTCGTTTTATAAAAATTCATAGGAAAATAGCAAATTCCGGATACATATGCACTATACTATAAGTCTAGAATTGCATCCAAGGTACGACGGAGTGAGTGCGTAGTGGTTGAGTGTATAGAGGCATATATGTAATTAAGATATGTGGGTTATCTATTCTTTTGAGTTAAATGCATCATATGTCTATTAACTTATGTATGGTTTTCAGTTTGGTCCATCAACTTTAAAAGTTAAATTTCGGATCTCTAAACTATTTATATTTAAGTGGTTCACCATGGGTCTATATTTCTTTGTTCGGCCCTTAGATTCAACTTTTGTGCCATAAACTTTTAACCGTAGGTCCATACCACCCCTTTATTTTGGTCACGTAGCACGTAGAGTCAACATTCACCATGGAATGAAATCTAAGAACCCAGAAGTTGAATCTAAGGCCAAACGAAGGGGTATAGTCCTACGGTCAACCGCTTAAAAGTTAATGAATCTCTAGTGTATTTAACTCTATTATTTTTACAATCTCGCCAACCCACAATTAGAGACTTTGTTGTCCCGTAGTATTATAGCTAGATTTATTTTTTTAGTAGAATCTTAATTTATGTATTCATCATTACTATAATTGACTCGATCATTCATGTTAGAGCAACAAGATTAGAAAAGCCGGTCCTGATACTACATGGCAAGAGCCAGGACTGACCCCTGAGAAGTACAATTTATCGAAGCCCAAATAGTATGAACTAAGGGCCAGGAATCTGTCTACAGGACACTAAAACGTTTTGATTTTGCTCAAAACACGCACCATCTTGTTCAATTTTGGCTGTTGCATATAAAAAATGCATTATTTTAAAAAGAGACGCTACAGCAGATAAAATGATTATTTTTAGCCCACATGTTAGAATATAAGGCTTTCTTTTGGCCATCCTCAGGATAGATCTAGTTTCGCCTTCACCTGCTACTCTGGTAGCAACAGCTCTGGCTCCACCAACCGCCTGTTCGTTTGTTGGTTTCAGCCAGCCAACAGTGTTTTTCTCTCACAGAAAATCAGCACCAGCCAGCTCAAACCAACACCAGCACCTACCAGCGAACAGGCCCCAACTCAAAACCAATTAACAAAGAGGAGCCGTCGAAGTTTGGTTTTTTAAGACTTCACTGACTCCTACAAAGTAGGAAGATCAAGGTCAAAGTCGTTTTTAAATTATTATTTAAAAATAAACCCTTGACTTAAATGGATTTTGGTTCAGGCCTTGTTTAGATTGAAAAAAAATTCAACCCGATGAATAGTAGCACTTTCGTCTTATTTGGTAAATATTGTCTAATCGTGGACCAACTAAGCTCAAAAGATTCATCTTGTGATTTTCAACTAAACTGTACAATTAGTTATTTTTTTACCTACATTTAATGCTCTATGCAAACGGCTAAATATTGATGTGATGGAGAGAGATTGAAAAAACTTGAAATTTTGAGGGTATCTAATCAAGGTCTCGATACCAAATCGTTTGTTTGGTCGTAGATAGAATTGGTAGCTAGAATCTAGAAAGGTTATAAAGTCAAAATTCTGTTTGGATGGCCAGGCATTGAAATGGCCCTCTGTCTCCCTTGTCCCTCCCCCCTCGGTCCCTCTTCTCCGTCCTACATCTGCACCAGGGCTCTCCGCCGGCAAGTCACCCTCAGCCCGAGCTCTCCACCGATGACGGGCGGTATGCGGAGGCGGCCTCGGCCACGACATGCTCGGGCGCGGAGGCGGGAAGTTAGAGATGGGGTGGTCGCTGCCGACCCTCGGCCCTTCCTCTCCGTCGTCGACAAGAAGCAGTGGGGGAGGACGCGAGTGGATCTCGCCGCTGCCGAAGATGGAAGAGGAGTTGCCGAGAAGGGGAGCTCGATTGCAGCCACGGGGGAGCTCGCGACGCCGTCCATGGTGGATCTCGCGCTGTCGGCCATGGGGAGAGGAAGAGGAGCTCGTGCCGCCGTCCATGGTGGATCTCGCCGCCGGCGGAGATGGAAGAGGAGCTGCCGAGAAGGGAGCTCGACTGCGGCCATGGGGGAGCTCGCGACGCCGTCCATGGTGGATCTCACGCCGCTGGCCATGGGGAAGGAAGAGCAGCTCATGTCGCCATCCATGGTGGAGCTCGCGCCGCCGTCCATGCTGGGAGGAAGAGGAGCTCGCGCCGCCGTCCATGGGGGGAGGAAGAGGATCTCGTGCCGCCGTCCTTGGTGGAGCTCGCGCCGCCGGCCATGGGGAGGAAGAGGAGCTCGCGCCGCTATCCATGGGGAAGAGGAAGAGGAGCTCGCGCCGCTATCCATGGGGAAAAGGTTTGTAACCAAACAACCAGACACACCAACAAAAATTACATGCTTACCTGTAAACTTAAACCTAAAATGATATTAACAAAACATCAATTGTCACTTGGCACAAGGGCGAGGAGATGAGAGACCCCTCGAGCCCCAGCCAAACACCAAAGGTGTAGCTCCTCCCTGATGAACAACATAACCTCATTCAAGCTTGGCAAAATCCCATAAAAAATACAACGATTGTGGTGATTCTAGATTGTCTAAGCTCCTAAAATGATGATGGAATTAAGCCCTTTTTGAACTGGGCCACTCACTCTATCATTTGTTTGTGCCCACCAATCATCAAAGGAAACATCATTGGGCTGGGGGTTAAGCCTTCCAAACTCACTTGCTGCAAGAGGAGGTACCACGCTGGTCAAGTGAAGACACATGACACAAGCAAATGGACAATTGTTTCTTCCTCCTGATCACATAGCAAGATCTGATCACATAGCAAGCAATGTTCATGATGCTGTAACCCCCGTTTGGCAAGGCGATATGCAGTCCAACACCTATTATGAGCGACCAACCACATGACGAATTTGCACTTACCAGACACCTGACTTTTCCAGATTCTCTCCCTAGGTCGACTGAAATGGTCAGCCCCAACAATCAAACTCTCATATGTTGATTTTGTTGAGTATTTTCCATTAGAAGAGAAACACCATGTGTGGGAATTTTCACTCTCGGCCTACAGTTCTACCTCCGAGAAAAGGTCACACAGGTCAAGAAATTCAGCAATGATTGTAGCAGTGATTGCACCTTGAATATCTGGAATCCAACTCAGTTCAGTCAAAGCATCGCAAACTGTTCGTTGCGTTGCTCGCCTTGGTACCAGTTTCTTGAGCTAACATAACAAGTCTCTGAAGCCCTTACCAGACATACTATGAGTAGATTTCAGCTCTAATAGCCTGATAACTTCTAATTTGCTCACCTTGCAACCCTTATATAATGGTGTTTTTCCATCCTTCCTCATTTTCTCTAACTTTTTCAATTGTTTTGGACTAAGGAATCATGACTACGCATCACATAGCATCTTAGAGAACCCATCGTCCACGGTGTCATCAGCTAACGTATTCCTAAGGACATTATTATTAACCACATCTTCGCCAGGTATGCTCTCATCATTGCCACCTTGGTCATCCGCTACATTGTCACCCTCTTCACCATGCATATTCCATATCTCAAAACAGTGGCGGAGCTAGAGAAAATTCAAGGGGGGTGCACTTGCCTTGTGGGTGCATAGACTTTTATTTTGAGGGTGCGAATATGGTGAAAATTTAGCTATAATCACTGTTTTTCTATTTTTGCGTGGGTGCGGCCGCACCCACTAATGACTATATACATCCGCCCATGTCTTATAATCTTCCACAAAACCTTGGGTAACCAGGTGACATCCTATCTTCTTAGGCTTGCGAAATTGCCTCAGATTCTTGCAGACCCTGCATGGGCAGCACACGTCCTTCATTCAGGGGATCACCTGTGACATAAGCTTTGGCGGCCTTGATAAATAAGTCGATGCCCATCACAAACTGCAGGTCCATAGGACCCAGACCGCATATCCATCCTTGATCCATCTGTTAGCAAAAAAAAAGTACAGGGCACTGGATTTAGTTTAAGTTTCAAGTTTATGAATGCACGCCCTATGAATAATAAATGCTCACTAGGTAAATATAATGTCCAATAATAATAAATTTCCAAATCCTATACCAGATATAATTCAAACATGTCTAAATTAAATGTTTGGTAGGTAATAAATGCTATTCTGAAAATAAATACTTGGTAGGTAATGTAGCCTCAAATTAAATTATGTGTATCTCATGGGTGCATCAAGAACTGGTCACCCATATGACAAAAATCAAAACCAATATTCTAACAAAAGCAAACTATCTAGATACATATTAAGTGAGTACACAAAGGTACTAACATTGTATTGCCAGTCGCAAGTGGATTCACCAAAATTCAGATGCCTTCACGAAAAAAGCTCTGCAAATTTGATAACGATCAAGAGCATGAGAATCAAAGACAATATGACCAACAAGACTAGCTACAAATTCAAAGGACTACTAGTTTACCACCTTACAACAAAGGGATCATGTCAATCCTTCAAAATCAACCGCCTCCATGAGCAATTTGGTGAGAAATGGCCGCAAAAGAGGAAAGCGAAAAGACGCCTCCTTCCATGAATGTGCTTGGGTTGGGCGGGAGGAGGAAGAAGGGGCTTGGGTTGGGGTTTTTGCATTGTATCAGTAACACTGTCGGGTTAAGCAAAAATCCGGTAGTGATACTGACACATCACTATCGGTTTCTTTTAATAAACGGCTGATGATCCAATATCACCGGTGGTTCATAATTTCAACCGGCAGTGATGGGACCTTCCTGCCACGTGTACACAATCCTAATCATTTTTCGGATAGTCCATACAGCATTGCTGGCATGTCTCGGACCTAGCAGTTGGATACACCTACCCATACATGCATGAGTTGTCCACCATTGGATATATACACCTACTGATACCGGAAGATGTGCTAAAAGTTATTTGCACTTACTGTATTTTTCTTGGATGCATGATTTATATACCTGTGTTTGAGACCCTTACATGTGGTGTATCCAATTTGTGAACGATGTATATGTCATTCTAGAACAACAACATATATGAATTTATAAAGATCTAGAGTACACAAAAGATATATATGATAACAAAGACCTTACAATAAATTTACGTATACAATAATAAAGATCTTTTCAGAAAAGAGGTAAATGTTTTACCGACTAGGACAAAATCTATAAACACATTATAATATAACCCCCTCACAATCATTCTTGTAACACCCGAGTGGGGGTGTCAAAAGTGTAGGAGCATGCTAGGGTGGAGAACCACTATGGCTGCGAGCCATGATGAGTCTATGCTGCCTCTGGCTCAACGCTGACTGTTAGAATGTAATAATAACAGCCCATATTGGGTGTACGGCCCATTGGCCTTGTACATTGTAACCCTAGCCTATTAGGCTATATAATGAAGGTCACCCCCCTTGATTAGGGTGTGCGGTGTTACTCTACACTGACCAACAGGCAAGGGTTTGGAGCTGTGATGAACCCATGCCTCTAGCAGTAGGCCACAGAATAACAACAAACTAAGGAATGGTTGCACTGCTGCCAACACACCTTGGCTTTGATGTGGCTTTATCTTTACAAACATTCTTATAGTACCTCTCATGCTTCATCTTGACTACAAAACGGAAGGTGTATATGGAGAGACTCCTCCCACAGAGAACACATATTGAGACTATATTCAAATGACTGGCACACATGCAGGGGACCTAGCTCCTCTGTACGTGGAGGTGTACGGACGCCGGTTTTATAACAAGAAGTAATGGTGGTAGATGGATCTAATGGTGGAGAAGCTCAACCAATTGATGGTTTGGTGGATCCAGCGGCAGAGAACATCGGGTCAACACCGAAGCTCATGGCTTGACCCGGCAGTGATATATCACTCCCGGTTCATAGCCTTTGCCAGCATTGATATGACACCTATCACTGCCGGTTTATGGCTTGAACCGGCGGTGATATGTCACTGCCGGATAGTGGTTTGAGCCAACTGTGATAGGTGCCTTCACTGCTCGGTGAATAGCTTCCCTAACTTTTCTGAATCCTAGGCTTATGAACCGGTAGTGTTAAGCAAACACTGCCGGTTCTAGCATAACCGGCAGTGATTGTGTGTTCTGGCCTCATGTAAATACCACCGGCTACTCGGAGTACTAAAACGAACGGCTTTTTCTGTCTACGTGCAGGCAAAGTTGGACCTGTCGAATAAGCTTCCACCAATAAAAGGTGTTTATTTTTACTTCTACTTCTAGCTGTTTCTCTTCCGACGCACTCACTTGCTAATAAATAGATTAATCACTACAATTTCAGGTGTGATTGAAGCCAAATTTATTGCACGCAAGCAATGGCTTGTGGCTGGAGATCGGGATGGTTACATTCATGTGTATTGCTACAAGGCAATGCAGCGACTCGCGCATTTCAAAGCACACCGATCGTTACACATACAGGACTTGGCAGTTCATCCAACTGAGCCATATGTGCTGTCAGCTTCTTTCCACGAGGGAAACGTCAAGTTGTGGGACTGGGAAAAGGGCTGGAAATGCACTCGAATATTTGAGTTTGCTGACTTTGACCATGTCTATGGAGTCACCTTTTTAAACATAATGGATACGGATACCTTTACAGTTCATGGCGATGCTGGAATAAAGGTAGTATATCCAACAGACCAATACTTAAGTCAATCTGGTAGTATAGTCTATTGACGACCTATGGACAATACTTCTTCAGGTTTGTAATCACCGGTCTGCTAGTTCTGCTGAATTCATATTGTCAGAATATAAAGATCCAGGTTTTATAACTTGCTTCGATCACTTTGCTAATGGTGGCCATCATTATCTGATTATCGGTGGCATTGATGGGATTGTCAAGGTGTGACGTCTTCTCAGTAACCATGACGTGCAACGTATGCGATGAAGCATTCTCAATTATAATCTTTTTCTTTTGTTGAATCAGATTCGGGACTTGCACACAAAGAGTCTTGTTCAAACAGTTGAAGGCGTACATCTTGATTCAGTCAAAGTAATCTATTGCCATCCCGAGCATCCAGTACTAGTTACAGGGTCACAAGATGGAACTGTTTGTCTGTGGAACTCAACTACGCTCAGGTAAAAGCACTTTACACTTTACTGCTCGTAGGACAGCTTACACATGACAGGCTGGGTATATCAGAATTCGCTGAAATATATTGTCAATGAGACCAGAGAAAATATATGTTCCTGTAAAATAAAGCGCAGCAATGCTACAGACAGATGTATAATTGCTTCTTTTCTATTGATCATCCTGTTGGAGTATAGTGATTGTGGAATGCCCAAGGACATGCATAAAACTTTACATTCATTGACATCAAAAGATTGTGATGTGTTGCTTTCTTAAAAGCAGAGGTAAAACTTTTTTTTTTAAAAAGTTTGTGATGTACCATATCACATTTCACATTCTTTATATAATGAAAACAGAGTTCTGGCTCTTTTTACTATTTGTATCACATTTACAGCTGTAGCATACATCTTGATCATTGTTACATTTTTTTATTTTGTGAATTACATTGATCATTGTTACATAATTTTCCCAAAAATGATAAAAAGGAATCAACTGACACAAATATATACTGTTTTTTACTACCATGTTTCTGCTAATTTACTATCATTGTTTGTCCACTTTCACTTAATACTATTTGAGTTGGAAAACGAGTTTTGTTGATTTCCACAAGGACAGTATGAGCCTAACTCAACTGGTTGGGTGGGAGGTGTGGTCGTGCACCCAACCACCGAGGTTCAAGTCCTATCTCGGCTTGAATTTCGGTGCCTATTTCTGCTTATTTCTCTTTTTAATAATAATGAAAAACCACCTACTTCCTCCTATGTTGGATCTCTTTTTTTAATCTTTTTAAATTATAATATGCACTACACACGTTTCAATGATTGTCTCCTTATATAACAAATGCCTTGTGCTCTACCAGGCCTGAGAGAACGTTTAACTTTGGCCTCGAAGGAGTTAATGATGTAAAAGTATGTATGGATAGCTCAAGAAGGTATGCTGGAAAACAATCCCCTGTTCTGTGGTTCAACTGTCATGAGCATTATAGACACAACCCATAAAGTATGGAAGCTTAAATAAATTACTACCTTCATCCCAGAAAATTGAACGTTATAGTTTTATCAAAGTCAAACTATCTTGTGTTTAACTAAGCTTGTAAAAAATAACAATTTTATATTACCAAATGAAGTATCATTAGATCCTTGGTTATGGTTATGGAAACCTCTTATCACTACCCTATGGCAATTACCTTCTCAACCTCTACCCCAAAAGGTCAAGTGTTCAGGTTTGAAAACTTTTGGCTGCAACAACCAGGCTTTCAAGATCTCCTTCAGAAGGAATGTACAAATGATCAACATCATGGTGATTGTACAAAAACCATCACTTCCAAATTCAAAGCCCTGAGAAAAGCTTTGAAAGCTTGGCATTCAAATCTATCAAGCCTGAAAGCAAATATAGCTAATGTAAAGCTAGTTTCAGAGTTTCTGGAGACAATAGAAGATTTTAGGGACCTTAATATGGAGGAATGGAACTTTAGAGAGATATTTAGAACAAAACAATTTCACACTCTTGGAACAACAAAGAACATACCGGAGACAAAGGGGCTCCCTGAAATGGGTTAAGCTTGGTGATGCAGGCACAATTTTTTCCAAGCAAATGCAACAAATAGACATAGAAAAAACTTCATTGCTAGATTGGCTTCTGACCCTAGCACCATTCTTCAACCCACTCAGAGAAGGAGCAACTTCTTTGGCAAGCTCTCAAATCAAGGCTTGGAACTTCTGAAATTAATGAGATGCAATTCAATTTGCAAGCTCTAATCCAACCCACTGATCATCTCCACTTTATAGAGGAAGAATTTACATAAGAAGAAATTGACAATGTGGTCAAATCCTTACCTAATGATAACTCATTTGGCCCAGATGGTTTCGCAAATGAATTTCTAAAAAAAATGTTGGCCCACCATTAATGCTGATTTCTATGATCTATGTAGGGCTTTTCATCAAAATAATCTCTGCCAACAGAGCATTAATTCCTCTTACATCACCTTGATCCCAAAGGTGGATACCCGCTTGACAGTTTCAGATTTCAAACCCATCTCCCTCCTAAACACTTCTATGAAATTGATTACAAAACTCCTGGCAAATAGGTTGCAAGGAATAATCAAGGGCCTTATCCATAAAAATCAATATGGCTTCATCAAAAGCAGGACAATCTAGGACTATCTTACATGGTCTTTTGAGTATCTACATTTGTGTCACCACTCCAAAAAAGAGATGGTGATCCTCAAACTTGACTTTGGAAAGGCTTTCGACAAAATTGAATATCAAACAATCATAAATCTTCTGGAAGCAAGAGGCTTTGGTAGGGTCTGACTTGCCTGGATCCGAAATATTTTTTATTCTGGCACATCAAAGGTTCTCCTCAATGATGTACGTGGGAAAACTATCCATTGTAGAAGAGGTGTTAGACAACAGGGACCCTCTCTCCCCCCTACTTTTTGTTCTTGCATAGACCTACAGCAATCCCTCCTAAACAAAGCTACAGAAATTGGCCTTTTAAAGCTACTCATCCCTCTCCTCTCTTCCCCACATTTTCCCATCATTCAATATGAAGATGACACTATGATCATTTTGGAAGGAGAAACCAAGCAACTCTTCTTGGAATCTGCCCTATACATTTTTGCGGAATGAACTGGACTTAAGGTCAACTACAGAAAATCTAGGATGTTCCCCCAATCAACTTGACAGAAGAAAAATTAAATCACCTTGCAAGCACTTTTGCTTGTGAGATTGGGTCCTTGCCTTTTACTTACCTAGGCCTCCCCCTTGGCCTTACCACACCCAGAGTTGAGGAATTTGTCCCTTTAGTAACCAAATGTGAGAGGAGACTAGCTAGCACTTCTGCTTTTGTCTCCCAGGCTGGAAGACTTGAAATCACTAATGCAGTCATATCTGCCCTCCCAACTTTCTACCTTTGCTCCCTCTGGAAAACACTGTTTATGGAGAGTTGCTGACTTGAACTCAAAAAAAGCACCAAAGGCAGCTTCGGACTTAGTTTGCTTACCCAAAAATGAAGAGGGGCTTGGAGTTCTGAATTTGAAAAAAAAAAACACAATGAAGCTCTAATGATGAAGAATTGGAACAAGTTCTTTAATAAGCAGGACATCCCTTGGGTCTCTATTGTCTAGGAAAAACATTATCCAAATGGAAAGCTTCCCAAGCATAAAAAAGGATCCTTTTGGTGGAGAGAAAATCTAAAACTCCTGGAATCCTTTAAACCTTTAGCCATGAATCAAATTCAAAAAGGACAAATTTGCCTCTTTTGACAGGATAATACTGGACGCAACAACCCCTCAAAGATGAATTTCTAGAACTTTACTCCTTTGGTAAGACAAGAAACATCTCAGTGCATAGCTTCTATGCCAAAGACCCCATAACAAGTGAATTCAACTTGCCCCTGTCTGCATAGGCATTACATCTGGGGACAAGACTTCTCATCAGCAAGAGCGTATGCAAATCTCATCGGGCACATACAAATTCATGAAGGATTCATTTGGCTTTGGAGAAGCTTTTACCAGCCTAAACACAAGGTTTTTTTTTCTGGCTCCTCATTAGGGATAGATTGAGCACAAGAAATATCCTCAAAAGAAAAAACATGTAGTTGGAATCCTACAATTGTGTGCTCTGTTAGGTCAATTCGGAGGAAACAATGTAACATTTGTTTCTAGAGTGCCCTTTTGCCAAAAGTTGCTGGAGACTGCTTAACATTAACTTCAGCCATGATTCAATATTCCCGGAAGCACTGCTACAAATCAAGGCACAATCACACCCACAAATTTTCATGTTAATAGCCATCCTAATGTGCTGGGTAATATGGACAGCGAGGGATGATCTCATCTTCAAAAACATACTGACAACAGTTAATGCAGCCAAGGAAACTTTCTTTAAGGAGTTAAAGCTACTGACGGCAAGAGGAAAAACCAAGGACTCAGGCATTTTTGGTCTATAGATTCAAAATTTGTTGTAATTTCTCTTTTATCTCTTATTTTCTTTCAGCCTTTCTTTTTTCTATTTCGTGCTGTACTTTAAATCCAACTCTTATTTCTAATAAGCTTCCTGTAGGGGTGCAAACCCCTCCAGTTTCATAAAAACACACGTCTAAAAGCAGATCAGAGCCTCTAGAGGGAGGGCGAGTTAGCCAATCTATCTCATGTTGTTCTTTTATCCATTCCCCAACCAATCTACCACAACATCTTTAGTATCAGAGACTTCGATCCTCGGTCCTGTGCCAGATCGCTCTCATTGCCGTCCTTCTGCTCTGCTAGCAACCACTGCCTTCAATGGGTGATTTCATCACCATCTCTGAGGGCCTCGACCACGTCTCTGCAGGGTATGATCGCCTTTCCACGTGGATCGGTCGTCTCTAAAAGACGTTCTTCCAACTCGGGATCTAATGAAGACTCGACCACCACCACTATCAGTACCAACCATGGTGACGCGCTAGGTTGTTCCAACTCTGGCCTTGATGTACGGTCCACCAAAGCGCACGTCCTTCTCAGTCTTGGCCGCAACGTCTACCACACTGCCATTGTCTTCTCCATCAGCAGCCTCGCCAACAGCCACTCTCCGTCTATTGTGGTGGCATCCGCATTGTCTTTGCAGCTCCCAGATATGCCACCATCTCTGCCATCACCGCAACGTTTGTCAGCTGTGGACATGCCCGCCCCATCAGTATTGGCAACCTCTATATTACAATGGTTGGTTATAACAGGCAACATTGTGCCCACTTTTTTTTTGAAAGGTTAGCAGGGCAGGCCCCTACCTAATAATTTTGATACAAATATACTAGTGTAAAGTATATATGCAAAACTTTAAATAACACGTAGTACACTAGTACTTTATAAGACAAATTTAGTTATATTTTTATAAAAGTCAAATTAACATATTCACCAATATATATATTTTTTGAGCGTATTCACCAATATATATTAATGTACTACTACATAGTTTATTTATTAAACATATGCTGATTGCATGCAACCTGAAATGGCATTTTTTTTACTAGAGAGGGAGTGTTATCAGCTAGGTTTGTTATGTGACGATATAAGCCAAGTGGTTGTATAGAATCAAATTGCACAAATTAAGTATGCACTTTTTGTCTTGACAGCATGTTGGCTATGATAACGAGTGCCAACTGCACTTTTTTCGAGCTTTCTTCAATATTGACATAATCTTATTTGTCATGGTCTCCTGAGTTGTTTAAGATCCAACTTCATATCAAGCTTAACGAGCTGAGACGGAGTCGAAAGTCACTCAAAATCAACTCATTTTTATTTTACAAGAAAAATGAGTTCAATCGGAGCATTTTTGGAACGAGCCACCGAGCCAGCTCAACGAGCTTTTTGTCTGGCTTTAACCTCTATGCTCACGCCTCTTTATTTAGATTGTGCTCTTTGATCACATGTAAAACTTCTAATCGGCAACATCTTAATCAGTTACAGGGTAGTGATTGCACACTGGAACGGATTGGCAATGATAGAAATCGACCAAAATGATCTAGTTGTTGTGAACACTGGCAGCAGCAGTGAAGAAAATGATTTAGTTGGCTCAAGAAAAAGAAAACTATCGGAGCCAGATCAGTCGGAGATAGAAAATGAAGAAAATGATTTTGTTGTCGATGTCATGGACACTGGTAATGGCGCAGAGCAGACGCAGGGCAATGGGTCAACGGATGAAGAGGTAGCTGCATGCACACATGTCAACACATCTTTTTCATGTGGGTGCATGATACTGTATATGTTTCTGATGTCCTGTATCCTTACCGATCTTTTTTTTTGTCCCTTCTTGTAGATACATTCTGTGTCCAGTAACCTGCTCGATGTTTACCCTGGGAAGCTTCAGCTACCATTTAAGCCCAATAAGCTGACCTCTTGTTCAGTAAAGCTGAGAAACACGACGGATGACCACATTGCTGTCAGGCTTCTGACGAAGTGCCCGAAGAGATACATGGCAAAGATGCCACTTTGTTGCATTGTGCCGCCAAATTGCATGTACACATTCATAGTGACAGGTAGCGATCAGAAGAAGAGACCCCTGCTGAGCAGGGACGAGTTTCTCACCCTAGAAAGCACCATTTGCTTGAAAGAAGATATTGTTGGGCTGCAGAATGCTAATGTAGACTCAGCGGCCATGGAGTTTACCAACTTCTTTAAAGAAGCCAAAGAGATGGCAGCTGATAAGCAGGTGCATGAGCTAAAGTTAAGTGTTGTTTCTGACCCACTAAAAGAGACAACCTCTATTCAGGTAAACACTTCCACTATTTATGTAGTACTTCCTCTGTCCCAAATTATAAGATGTTTTGGCATTTCTAGATTCATAACTTTTACTATATATCTAGACATAATATATATCTATGTGTATAGCAAAAGCTATGAATCTAGAAAAGCCAAAACATCTTATAATTTGGAACGGAGGGAGTATATATATGTTAGACTTAAGCACCTAATACATGTATTCGTATTGTATTCCTTTTTTATCTTTTAATGGTGGTGAACTGGTGATGTGGTAGCAGCAACAGTCAGAAGTTGAGGTAATTTGCCTCCATTTGTTTCAACCATTGCCTCTTTGTTACAGCTGTTGACATTTTTCACCAATTAATGTTGCTCTGTGTTTCGGTTGAATCAGGTCGTATCCAATAGGAAGTTTTCACATGTGCTGTCTGTGGACGTGCATCCGACGGAACCATGGTTACCTCCTGTCTTACAACATAGCGACCGAGATGATTTATTAAGTCTTTTTCACTTAACATTTCCTTTGTGCGTGCAGGATTCTGACGACCAATCAAGCCGGAGAGGTTCGCATTTGGGACTACAAAGCGCAGGTAAGTAGTAGGTTGCTGCTCGATCTCATCTGCTCATCTCTACAATGGTGGCAAGTTCTGTTGCTTTGTAAATTTTCAATTGGTTACATTGAATATGCTCATTTATGTGCAGGCCATAGCTATATCCTTTGACTTCACAGAGGAACAAGGTATCCTTTATGACATTACTATTTCCATTTATACTTTTTCTTTTTTTAAAAAAAAAGAGAGAGAAGAAACATGATTCTCTCGTGAAATAAGAAAACATTTAAGTTCCGTTTACTCCATGACAAATAACACATATGCATAATATTATTTCATTGCAAATACAGTTTACTCTGCTAAATTCATTGTGGGAGAGGAATGGATTGTCGCTGGTGATGGCTACGGGACTATCTATGTATACAGTTACCAAACAGAGGAGGAAGTTACAAACATCGATGCTCACGATAGTTTGATCACGTCTTTGGCTGTGCATCCCACTGATCCTCTTGTGCTCTCGTCATCCGAGGATCGCCTGATAAAGCTCTGGGACTGGAAGAAGAACTGGGAGTGTACTCGAACATTTGAGGGACACTCCGACAGAGTAACACATGTAAATTTTAACCCAGTAGGCACCAGCAGTTTTGTATCTGCTTCCTTGGATCACACAATCAAGGTTTGACTTCGATTTTGATCTTATCTACAAAAAAGGTTTTCCTGCATAATCAGTGCCTATGCACAAAACAAATATTACTAATTCAATCCTTGGAGAGTTCAACAGATTGTTCTATGCTTTGCTTTGCAGGTTTGGAACATTTCTTCTCCTGAGAGCATCATCACGACGCTGTCTGATCACCCGGATGGCCTGGTTTGTATTCACAGTTACAGAAGTGATATGAAGCAGTATTTGATTGCTGGATCTTGTGATGGGACTGCACAAGTATATCATCTTTACTGAAGAATACACTCACTGTGTTGTTTAGCATAAAAAGTACTACAGTACTTCATTGACATCATCTTTGCTAATTAGATCTGGGACATGGAGACGAGAAGACTTGTTCAGACACTCAAAGGGCATGCACGTCATATTAGTTGTGTCTACCATCACCCAGAACTTCCAGTAGTAATCACAGGTTCACATGATGGGACTGTTCGTTTATGGAACTCCACTACCTACAGGTACATTGAAATACTTGTTTTTCTGTCATTTTATTGGAGGGTTCTAGGAAGACGCTTCAGCAATACTTCCGCTGTGTACATGTTGTTTAGGTGTTTAGTTCATAATATGTAGATCTAAGTAGTTAGTGAAAGGTTGGAAGTTTTTTCTTACAGTTTTAGTAGTTTCACTTGTGAGATGCAGGTGACAGACCAAAGAACATGCAAAAATTAACTTCTTATGATAGATATATTGATAGAAAGTAAAATATTATGTGTTATCTAGATAAATAAAATTTCGTAAACCATGGATCTTAATATGGTGCATATAGTTGGTATTATCCTTGGTGTAGTTGGTATTAACAATCCCAAAGTTGCAAGTTAATTTTTGTAGTTTTCATAACAGCTATCTTTTTAATCTTGCAGGCTCGAAAGTATAGTTGGTATTAACCTTGGTGTAGTTCATGCTCTTGGATATATCAAAGACTTAAGAAGGTAATGGATTGTTTTAGTTTCTTTTATATTACTATATATCACCAATTGAAAAGAAAAATATAATTTAATGCTTTCTACATTTATGCATTGCTTCAACAACTTCATATTGTAGTATGCTTGACACCTCATTAAAATCAATACATATATTTGTAACATTTTGATAGAAACATTCGCAAGGTATGAATGGCTAGGATTACAATCATTAATTAATATGCTTTGATGTATCATTTTTTCAAAGAGAGTATCTATAAACTAAAACTTTCAATCATATTTTCGAAGGAACCATGAAATGATAATGTTCTAACCCACAACACTCCTTCAGTTAAAACCGGCCACTGAACTAATAAACAAGAAAAATTCTTAATCTTTTTGCAAAGTTGTATGTTTGTACTCCTTTTTATTAGACAAATTTGGCGAAGATTCTAATGTGAAATCATATGTGCGCCCAGTTAAAGTCCTAGACTCTATAGTAGCACTGACCTTCCTAGGAATTTTAATTCCATGTTGGATGCATTTGTATGCATATAGCATTCTTTGTGTTAAAGCATCTGACTTATTTTTTTTCTAAGAAAATAAAAAAATAATATTTGAATATTAAATTGACTTGTTTTTAGCTAGAAACTATCCAAGAAGAATGAACTATTTGCACCAAAAGTTTAGGTTCTAAAAAGAGGTTGAGATAGCCATTGCAAAACGGTTGCCAACACGTAGCCTTAGCCTGTTAATCTATTTTTTTGTAACACCATACATCTAAAGTTTGCTCTGAGGCTAACCCTGCATATGTATAGCATTCCTCTTATAGTGTCATCCTAACTTCATATAAAAGTATTAATTTTTGAATACAGTACATTTGTAACGACATCGATCATAAACCAGCTAGTACCTATTTAGACAACCAAATTACCACTATTCATCTCACCATACTAGAACATTTGTGCGATACATGCCAAGACTAGAGCATTTTTTTTTTTTCTAAGCAATGCAGAGAAGCAACAAGCGTCATTTCATTAAGGTAGAGAAAAAATTACAAAGGTCCAAGTGACCCACCACACACACCCCACTCCCGTAACTAGGTTACAGACTCGCCACACAAAAAAGGAAAAAGGACGACCAAACTTTCCAAGCATTAAGCTCCGTAAGGCATCAACTCCGAAAACCAGCTCACGGAGTTTGGAGGCCCGGCCGAGCACCAGAGCCCACCCTCCGAGCTAATAGCCCTAAGGACTTCTGAACACTTGGCCTCTTTTTATCAAAGACACAAGAATTGCGATGCTTCCAAATCTCCCAAGCCATCAAAATTATCAAGGAGTTGAGGCCTTCACGCAAATCCTTAGGGACACTGCATGATTGTTCTCTTCCACCACCCTCGAGAAACGAATCACAAGAGGGTGTGGTGCCAACTGTAGCATTCCCAACTCGATGCAAAACCAGGGCCCAAATTTTTAGGGCAAAAACACACCCACTAGCAAATGGTTTATTGTTTCATCCTCTTGATCACATAATGGGCAAGCCTCAGATGGGGTGATTCCTCCTTGCAAGTCTATCGGTGTCTGCATCTTGCCAGAAATACCAACCGGATGAAGAACTTGTGTAGAATAGACAGAAAGGAGGAATCACCACACACTGAATGTATACAAGGAAATTACACATGGAAAGCTATTCCCTGTACAAGGAAGCAATCCTAGGCTATACATAGAAAGAATCCTAGGCTATATATGGCAGCTAGTCTATCTATGGGATTACACTCAATCTATGATTAGTGCAGGATTATACATATCCTAATACCACCGCAATCAGAAGCGGAAGCATCACGGACGCATGATCGGTCCGAAAGTCGTTGAAGAGTCGGGACGGGCGAGACCCTTGGTCATAATGTCGAAAGAACCGGGTGTGTGAAGGAACATGGAGAACCTCGAATCGTCCCAGAGCGACCTTCTCGCGGGACGAAGTGGATGTCAATCTCGATATGCTTCGTGGCGGCGGTGGTGGATGTGGTTGGCGACCATGTAGACGGCGCCACATTGTCACGAAGAGACAACCGTCGCTAGCGGAATGGAGATGTGGAGCTCTGGAGGAGTCGACGCAGACCAAAGAAGACTCAAAGAACCGCATGGGCCACCGACGAGTACTCAGATGACCAGCCCAGATCGAGCGACGGCTATACCGTCTGTCGCTTGGAAGACCATGAGACCAAAGTTGTCGCCGAGGTAGACGCAGAAGCTCGAGGTAGAGCGACGTGTATCCGGCACCGACCCGGTCGGCATCGATCGAGTAGGTCGGAGTCGATCTATGTGGCCGGAGCTCAAGTGAAGGCTCGCAGATAGCGAGCCCTTGACATAGCGCAAGATGCGCTTGATCAGCGCAAGATGCGGCTCACGAGGGTCATGCATGAAGAGGCGCACTGCCAGACAAAGATAGGCCGTGTCGGCCTCGTCCAGAGAGAGGTATTGGAGAGCTCCCGCCAGCTCCCCAGACTCAGGGGTTGGCGACGGAGCGCCCTCGGTGGAGGACAGACTTGGTCCGCATCCACCGGTAGTTTGCGGGTGGCATTCGACATGCCAAAGACGCCGAAGAAGCTTGACGGCAGATCGCCGTTGGGATAGGAACAAGCCACTGCTGTCCCTCGTCACCGAGATGCCGAGGAAGTGCTGGAGGTCACCAAGGTCCGTCATGGCGAACTCCAGAGAGAGTCGGGAGGCGACGTGCAGGAGTAGAGCCGGTGACGACGCGGTGACAATGATGTCATCAACGTAGAGGAGAAGATAAGCCATGTCATCTCCAAATTTTGTAGATGAACAGGAGGCATCCGACTTGGATGTGGTGAAGTCGATGTCATTGATGAAGGCGGAGAAGCGGTTCCAAGCTCATGGGCTACTGCTTAAGTCCATACAAGGACTTCTGCAGCAAACAAACGGAATTAGGAGCAGCAGGGTCGACGAAGCCTTTGGGCTGCTCGCAGTAGACCGTCTCCTCGAGGTTGCCGTGGAGGAAGGCATTCTTCACGTCGAGTTGGCGGATAGGCCAATCCCGGACGCAAACAATGCCGAGCACGGTGCGGATCGTGGGCGGCTTGACGACCGGGTGAAGGTCTCGTCGTAGTCGACCGCCGGCCTCCTGGGAGAAACCGCGGACGACCCAAAGGCGCCTTGTGTGCCGGGCGAGGGAATCGTCTTGAGTGGAATTTGTGCTTGAACGACCACTTCCGAATAATAATGTTAGCACCGGGGCCGAGGGACAAGGCGCCAAGTGCCATTGTCGATCGGCGCCTTTGTACTCATCGGCCATCGCAGTCACGCCTAATTGGGGTCGGGCGAGGGCTGCCAGGATAGTTCGCCGACCGGCGAGGCGACGGAGGTGGTGAAGCCCAGCGCCGATTTGCTGTAGAGGAGCTTGTGCGTGACCGTGTCACACAGCCGGGTCGGTGGTGCAAGAAAGTCTTTGGTCGCCGCAGTGGTGGAGCAGATGGTCTTTGGAACCGCGAAGACATCCGCAGGGGCGACGATCGCGGTGGGTGGTGCAACAGCCACAGGAACCGGCGCCATGGGAGCCACGGGGTCAGCCGCAGGGGCCACGACCTCAGTGGCTGGTGCATCAACCGCAGGAGCCACGTCAATGCCGCAGAACTCGATTATGGGCGAGTGAAGACGATGCCGAAACGCAACTGGCGCCCGGTGTGGAGCGGTGGCGGTACGTTGCCCGTTCGCCTGGGAGGAGAGCAGCGGTGGGTGCCCGCCCAGTAGAGGCAACAGGGGGCCCAGTGGATAACAGTGGGTCCAGAGCGCAGGGCTGGATCTCGGCCTGGTTTGTGGGGCGGCGGAGGAGTGCTCCTTTGTTGTCGCCGAGGAAGAAAGTCCCCATCGAGAAATTCAAGTGAGGCGGCACGGAGGTCGCCGATGGTGTCTGCCGCTGAATGGGAACACCGACTCGTCGAATATGACATGGCGGGAGATGATTATCCGGCGAGTATTCATGTCGAGGCAGCGGTAGCCCGTGTGAGAGGATGGGTATCCGAGGAAAACACACGGGGCGGAGCGAGGAGCGAGTTTGTGGGGGGAGGTGGCGGTGAGGTTTGGATAGCAAAGGCACCCGAAGACACGGAGGGAGGAGTAATCTGGGAGAGTGCCATAGAGAATTTGATGAGGTATCTGGTGGTGGATGGAGGAAGAGGGACGCCGATTGAGGAGGGTGGTGGCTGTGGTGAGAGCCTCAGCCCAGTAAGGAGGAGGCATGAAGGCATGGAGGAGCATGGTGCGGATGGTGTTGTTGATAGTGCGGAGTATGCGTTCGGCCTTGCCATTTTGCGGGGACGTATAGGGACAGGAGAGGCGTAGGGTAGTGCCCTTGCTGCTGAGGAGTGTGGCGGTGGCGTGGTTAACGAACTTCGGTGCCATTATCTCGCTTGAGAGGATTTGGGTGTGGTGCCGAATTGTGTTGTAAGCGTAGACAAAGAATTCGACAAGATGCCGGTGCACCTCAGATTTGTGGCGCAGTGGGAATGTCCAGCAGTAATGGGAGAAATCATCGAGTATGACGAGATAATATTTAAACCCGGAGTTGCTAGGCACGGGAGATGTCCACACATCACAATGTAGTAAATCAAATGGGGCACTCATTACAGAGGTGGAATGGCTAAATGGGAGTCGCGCGTGCTTGCCAAGTTGACATGCATGGCGAGAGGCAAGGCGAATGCTTATTGTAGGAGATGGCCGACATGTTCCAGAGAGTGGCGAGGTGGATGGGCCGGGTGGCCGAGGCGGTGATGCCACAGGACGACGTGGTGGCGAGGCCGCAGGAAGTGGACGGTGTGGTGGGGAAGGTGTAGAGGTCGCCACCACTATTGCAAACAAGAATCACGCGCCTTGGTCTGCCGGGTCCTCTTGATGAAAAAGCCACAAGAGTCAAATTCAACGGAACAAGCATTGTCACGGTGAATTGATTGACCGAAAGGAGGTTGCGTGACTAGAGCAGGGCAACCGTAACATCATGAAGATGAAAGGTAGAGTGCGGGGAGTGTAATCTAGATGGTCCATGACGGTGATGGGAATGGTAGTGCCATCGCCAACCATGATGCCGAGAAGGAGGAGGGAGGCGGGACAGGAGTATACCATCCGAGGATGACATGTGGGCAGTGGCACCGGTGTCGAAGACCCAGGGGGAGGAGCCCTCAAGCGACATCTGGTTCTGTAAGGGGCTGATGAGGCTCACTGCGATCGGCCCACCGCCTTCTTTGGTGAGGAGGCAGAGAGGAGTTTGTGGCGCCGGAGAACTGAGCGGGGGCAAAGGCCGTGTGAGCCTGGGCCGGGGGAGGAGCCCCGAGCACGCCAGAGCCGCCCCACGTTGGTGGACGCCATGGTCGCTGGCGCGCGCAGCGATCCAGTGGCGGGTATGTGAGCCACCGAGCCGCCGATGCAAAGAGACTTTTGGGCGCCGCCCTTGCCCTTCTTCTTCCAATGCCATTGCCGCCGCTTCTTCCCACTGCTGCCGCCGCATTGGCCGCTGGAGCCGCCACCATAGCCGGTGAAGCCGCCACGGAGGCGCTGGAGACAAAGGCGGTGAGGAGTGCCGCACGCGCGTGGAACGCCGTCTGGCTGCCATCGTGCCCTCGCTGGCAGGCGGAGCTCCTTGAGGACGAAGAAGCTGCGTGGTGGCGAAGTCCGAAGAACGGGTGCGAAGTCGGCGATGTTGTCGGCGGTCTTTGGCGAAGCGGGGTTGAGCAGCAGAAGTTGAGGACAAGCTCGAAGTCGGTGATGACACGACCGACATCACGGGCGCGTCGGCGGTGGCCTTCATCTTTTGGGCGTAGTCATTGACGGAGTCGCATACAGGTCATGGAGTAGAACTTCGTGACCTGTGAAGATGGTATGTGAGGCCTTGTTGGCCTCGAAGAGGCGCCTGATGGCGAGCCAGAGGGCACGCGCGGTCTGATCTGGCGCCGTCGCTAGGCCGAGGACATCCGCCCAATGAGCTAAGGAGCTAGCTGCGGACCTTGGCGCCGGGCGATGTTCCTGTGGGGTCGGGAGAGCCAGCTTCCTCCGTGATGTGGGAAAGAAGGCCGAATTTCCCGCAGAGAGAAGTGAAGAACGGTTCCCACTGGTTGAAATTGGGCCTCGTCAGTTCCAGGGTCACCGGGATGTGGTTCTTGACATTGATCGTTGCATAGGGGGCAACGAAGACAGCAGGGGCAGAGAGGGAGCCCAGGCTGGTCGTGGTGCTGGAGTTGGAGGAGGAGCTGGTGGCAGATCCAGTCGTCATGGCGACCCTGATGGGAGGAGGGAGGGACAGCAGAGGGGGGGCGATGGGAAGGGGAAGGATGTCCGGTTAAGCTGATACCATGTAGAATAGACAGGAAAGGAGGGAATCACCACACACTGAATGTGGGTGGGGTGCCTTTCATATATAGCTAATATGCATACAAGGAAATTACACATATGGAAAGCTATTCCCTGTACAAGGAAGCAATCCTAGGCTATACATAGAAAGAATCCTAGGCTATATATGGCAGCTAGTCTATCTATGGGATTACACTCAATCTATGATTAGTGCAGGATTATACATATCCTAATAACTTGCAGCGCGGAGGAGCCCAAGTTTTCCAGATCCTTCTCCAAGACCCAAACTTGATGGTTCCCTCAAAGAAGGCTGCATAAGCGGATTTACTGGTGTAGGAACCATCCTGAGTTAATTTCCATCTATATTGATCTGGAATCTCCGGATGCAAAATAAATCCATCCACAATGTCCCAAATACGAAGGTACTCAAGCATGACCACAACTGTACGTGCTCCTTTAATATCCTGAACCCAACTATTATGATGCAAGGCTTGCGCCACCGTCCTTCTCTTGGCTGTTCGATTTGGGACTGCCTTGAACAGGCTAGGAGCTATTTCAGCCATGGTATGCCCCCCCAGCCATCTATCTTTCCAGAACAATATCTCCTCTCCATTTCCTACTATGGCATCGACTGCAACATTGAAGAGAGCCTCGGCTTTATGAGGAACAGAGATAGGAAGGCCGGCCCAAGGCCTTTCAGCATCTGTCTTTTGCGCCCACAGCCACCGAATCTTCAGTGTACATCCCAGAAGTTCAAGATTATGAATCCCAAGACCTCCATACTCAAGTGGTCTTTGCACCTTTTCCCAAGCTACTAGGCAATTGCCACCATTGGCCTGTTGGTGACCCTTCCAAAGGAAGGCTCGCCGTTTTTTGTCAATAGCCTTAATCACACATTTTGGAAGGTCCAGGGCAGTTAAAAGGTATATTGGGACAGCAGTCAGCACAACCTTCACCATGACTAGCCGCCCAGCTCTGTTCATAAGAGAAGCCTTCCATCCAGGGAGATAATCTGCCACTTTATCCACTAAAGGTAACAGCACCTCTTTAGTTGGTTTTCCAATTGAGAGCGGGAGGCCAAGATACATGCAGGGAAAAAACTTTATAGAACATGAGAGGATGTCTGCCGTGAGAGCCAATTCCTCATCAGTACAGTGAATAGGGGAAACTGAGCTCTTAGCTAGATTAGTTCTAAGCCCAGAAGCATGTCCAAACAGATCTAGGAGGTGCTTGATGGTGATCAGATCCAAAATATATGGTCTCAGGAAAATTACCGCGTCGTCAGCATAAAAGGAGACCCGATGCCTTGCTTGCTGAATGGCCAGAGGCTGCAACAAACCCATCGAAGTAGTGTGATTGACCAAAGAATTTAGGACATCCATAACTAGAATAAACAACATTGGTGACAGCGGGTCACCCTGTCTGAGCCCACGGTGATGGAAAATAGAGTCCCCAGGCTCTCCATTAACCAAGACATGTGTCGAAGAAGTGGACAGGATCAGACAAATGAGGTCCCGCCATCGCTGACCAAACCCCACCTTGCACATGACCTCCAAGAGAAACGACTAAGACATAGAATCAAAAGCCTTGGAGATGTCCAGTTTAAGGAGGATATGCGCCTCTTTCTTCTTATGCAGGGTTTTAACCATCTGTTGGACCAGCATGAAATTGTCATGGATTTTCCTTCCTCTCACAAAAGCGCTCTGATTTGCAGAGATCAAGGAAGGCAGCATTGGGGCTAGCCGATTAGCCAAGATCTTCGTCACCAACTTGGCAAAGCTATGAATCAGGCTTATAGGTTCAAAATCCTTCACTTCCACTGCATCCACTTTCTTTGGTAGCAGGGTTATAAAGGCTGTGTTCAAGAGCCGAAATTTGAAGACATGGCCTTGCTGGATGGCCTCCAACGCCCTCATCACATCACCTTTAATAATGCTCCAGCAGGATTTATAAAACCTTCCTGTGAATCCATCCGGCCCTGGGGCCTTATCCAAGGGCATATCCTTTATGGTAGCCCACACTTCCTCCTCAGAGAAAGAAGCATCCAGCTCAGATAAATTATGATGTTGAATGTTCAAAATATCTAGATCAAGAGTGTAATCTCTTTCTTCAGCTGTTCCAAGAATGCTCTCATAGAAATAAATCCCTTCGCTTTCATTTCTCATCTTGTGTGACAACCACCTGATTACCAACTTGCAATTTTGAGATGAAGTTCTTCTTCTTCCTGTATCTAGCTTGTTGGTGGAAGAAAGCGAGATTAGCGCCACCTTCCGGAGATAAAGAAATCTAGAATGTAGTCAGTGCAATGGTTCT